CCAGAAGGTTGAGAACCACTGCCTTAGAGGTTCCAGAAGAACAAAGAGGCTTCTTGTGGCTGTGGTTATACCAGGGCTTAAGGTTCTATCAAAGTCACTCACATTGTGCTGGACAAACACCTATTAAGCACTTGCTAAGTGTCTGATGGGTTTGGGAAGTAAGGGCAGGAGATACAAAGATGAATAAGGCAGAGAACTCTCTGAGGTGATATGAATGCTTCATATCTTAATAGGAGTTTGGGTTTTAGAGGTTATGCATTTTTCAAAACTCAGTGAATGTATACTAAGGTTTGTGCTTTCATTGCATGTAAGGTTTACATCAAAAGAATATAGAAACAAATAATTGAATTCTAGTCAATGATATGTACTCTGAAGTTTTTAGAGGAAAGTACACTGATGTTTGCAATTTACTTTAAAATGCATCCAAAAATAGATTAAACCGGCAGACATGGATCAGTGGTTGAGCATTGACCTATGAACCAGGAGGCTACAGTTCGATTCCCGATCAGGCCACATGCCCGGGTTGCAGGCTCGATCCCTAGTGGAAGGTGTGTGGAAGCCAGCCGATCAATGATTCTCTCTCACCATGGATGTTTCTGTCTCTCTCTCCCTTTCCCTTCCTCTCTGAAATCAATTAAAAATATATATAAAATAGATTAATAGATGGAGAGAGATGAATAGGTGATAAGCAAGTATATTTAAAATATAAATGAATTTGCTTCATGTTTGAAAATTTTGGTAATAAAATGTTGATGGAAAAAGACGAGAAGATAGCATCTAGGGAGACTGACCCTCACACAGCACAGTTAATGGCCTCATATCCTGTCCTGCTCTCTCTCTCTCTTTTTTTTTTTTGGAGGTTGTTAGGTTGTGGGAGTAGATCTGGTTAGGAATAAAAGCATTTGTTCCCCTTTGGAGCCTGTTTGTAAACCTCTGAGTCATTCCCAGATGTACCTGCAGTCATGACGGATCAGAGTAATTCCAATAACTGATGCTTGCCATTGTTGAGGTCCTCCAGAACTACAGCAGGGAATACATTTTACATCATAACTTAGTATACAGTCACAGCTAAGCGAAACAAAGCTTCATGAAACTGTACTTGGATGCACTCTAATATTTTCTCTGTAATTTCTGAAAATTGTCAGTTTTGATCCATCAACAGGTTAAGAACCGACAGTTGAAAAATGCTGCTGTTTGACATACATCATTTAGTATTAACAGTGCACACTGTCATAAAATCATGAGCGTTTTCAAATGTTCCTTAGAATTTCCAAGCTCAACAGAGTCAAGTTTTATTACAGGTGCCACTGTAATTTCTTAGTTGTGTGACCTTGGGAAAGATGTTGAACTTTGCAGCCTCAGTTGTGTCATCTGTAAAATGGAGATAGTAGGGGAAATACGCCCTTCATAGACTTCTCGGAAAGGATTAAACGAGATGGTGTCTGTGAAGTGCTTCTTAGCACAGTGGCCAACTGAAAGGCCTCAGTAAGTGGTAAATATTTTTATTAGCCATGAATCCATGAACTTCTATGTTTGGGCCTCAAAGGAATCAGAATGGGCTTCAAAATATATGTTGTCCCCTATTAGCTTCTTTTAGTTCTTTTTACCTATTTGTTTTTTGTGGAAGTGACCTTTGGGAAGGCCCAATTGTTGGCTCTAGTGCTCAGTAAAGTACTCATTTTTCCAACAGTTGTCGGTGGTGGCATTGGCAAGAGTGTTATTCGGAAACGGGGAATGTTGGCAGGTTTAGTGGTGTTTGCTGTTGGCGTCTGCCTTGGCATAGTCCTAGGTGAGAGAGGGAGGCCTGGGGTTTCTCATTGATTCATCTCCTTAGCATGGAATTCTGGCTAAACTGCATCTGACTTGGGGGGTGGGCAGGAGGAGCCCAGAGGGCCTCATTATGGAGGAGTTTCCCTCTTTGAAATCCCCTCTACTGAGGAATTATTCTGCACCATTTGAATTTCCTCCTTTTTCATCTGAACAACTTTGGCTGCTGGTAGAAATAATTAAACAGAAAGTGTTCTGGTATTTCTGGCACAATTTAAAGTTTTTTACTCTTCTTAATTTAATAGAATCCCAGGATTATTGCTGGGAGAGCCCTTAGGAGATCGGTGCAACTCTGCCACTGGATAGGTGGGGTCCTCCTTCAGAGCGGGAGCCAGCGCTCCTGCCCACGTGAGCTGGAGAACTGGAGATGTTTTAACCATAGGCACTCGAAGAAAACCATTCCTGTTACTACTCTATGTGGACCTGACTGCATGCATCACTTTATTACCTAGGATTGCACCCCATTTAGAGTTCTCAGTGGCTTAACACAACGAAGATTTATCTGTTGTTCACATATCATGTTCAATCCGAGTCGGGCTCTTCTCTGTGCAGACCCTCAGGGACTTGGGCCGCATCTTGTAGCCAATTAGGACACATGCCTTCCAGTTGCCGTGGTGGGGGATCCGCACTCACTCCTCTGTGCTTCTGCCCAGAGGTGATAGAGTCGTTTTGCTCACGGCTCATCTGTCAGAACTGGTCATATAACCCTGCCTAATTGCAGAGGGATGGAAATATGGGGGAAAAGGGGCATATGGAGTATTTGATGACCGTTACCAGGGAGAGTGATACTATGGTAATATATATGTTAAAACTATAGATTGGAAAAAAAATGTAGCTTCTTATTCTCTAGATCTACCACGTTTCATCACTCTCCCAATTTTCTAAGCCTCCAGGTTCATAGAGGCCATCATGGCAGCAGCTTTTACTGATAGTCTGGTGGGGACAGGGAAGCTGCTGCCAACCACAGGGTAATGGGGTCCGTGAGCAGAGCGGCAGAGAATACAGAAGAGAAATAGTGGGGGCAGCTGTGACTTCATCTGCTGACACTGTGTGTTTACTTTGTGTGGTAGGTTGAAAAAGACCTCTCCTCTGCCCCCAAAGATACCAGGTCCTAATCCCTGGAACTAGTGGATGTTACCATACTGTACCTGGCAGAAGGGCTGGTACAGATGGGATTAAATAGGATCTTGCGATGGTGGGTTTATCCTGGGTTATCCCAGTGGGCTCTCAATGCTGTCACATCTTCAGAAGAAGGATGCAGAGGGACATCTGACACAGTGACAGAAGAGGAGGAGGCAGCGGAACCACCGAGGCAGAGACTGAAATGAGATGGCTGTGAACCAAGGAATGCCGACAGCCACCGGGAGCTGGAAGAGGCAAGGAGTGGATTCTCTCCTAGAGCCCCAAAGGGAGTGTGGCCCTCCTAACACTTGATTTTGGCCCAGTGGTATCGATTTTGCACTTCTGACCTCTAGAACGAGGGAGAAATAATTTTCTGTTGTTTTATGCCACCAAGTTTGTGGTAATTTTTAAAAAATATATTTTTTAATTGATTTCAGAGAGGAAAGGTGAGGGAGAGAGAGATAGAAACATCAATGATGAGAATCATTGATCAGCTGCCTTCTGCATACCCCACACCAGGGCTCCATCCTGGGAACCGAACCGTGACCTCCTGGTTCATAGATCAATGCTCAATCACTGAGCCATGCTGGCTGGGCTGTGGTAATTTCTTATAGCTGCCATAGGAAACATATACTTGGGTTCCCAGTTTCTTGGTGATCAGTGGCTATTGCTGTTATAACCAGTGCCCGGAGGATTTGGTGGCTGGAGTGAAGACTGGGGAACGGTGGTTGGGGAATGGGGTCGGAGTGAGAATTTTTTTTATATCCCCTGTTTTTACCTTTAAAATTTGAACTATGTGAATGTACTACCTATTCAAATAATAAATAAAAGCGATCTTTACAGCCCTGTGAATCATGGTTAATTTTGTGTGTCTATTTCCCTGACTAACAACCAGTATAACTTGTGCTCTGTGACATGCATTTTGAGGACTTCTTCTCAAAATGTTGCCCCACGGACCTTACCATCTCGCCTACTCTAATGTCTTCTCTTTCCATTGTACTTCTGATGTTTGGGTCTGGGTCAATGAGGGGAGAGAATTATGTGAAGGAAAATGAATGATGGTGTAATAATTGTAACTTTTAATTAGAATCTAAAAATGCAATTTAATTAAAAATTACCTCCGAATTACCTCTCATTCTGGATCTAGGCTTCCTGACCGGTGTGCTGAGATTTCATTTTCTCAGCCTTGGTGACTGTGGTCAGGGGCGAGAGTGGCCAGAGCCCCCAGGCTGGTGGCTTCCGCTTCAAGAATAGAACCCCTTGATGCCACTATGTTGTGTAAATACTATTATCTTCGGTTTAGTGTGTGCAGTGATGTGGAAAGGTTGGGAAATGCTGCTCTGGCTAAAATGTGGCCTTATATTTTTAAAATGTCTGTTGCACAAAATAGCTATAAAAAACAAACAAACCAGTTGGGTCTTTGGGAAAACCCCAGTGATGGTTTGGCTCCAGTGCAGGAGTCCTCAGCCCCTTTCCCACTGCGACACTCGGCATGGATGGTGGCTCTGTGCTGGGGAGGCTGCTGGCACTCCTTCCTGCAAAGCCCCAGAAGCAGGCTCAGCTTCAGTGTCTCCCACACAAAGCCAGAAAAGAAGGCAGAGTCACATTTTAGGAGATGATCCTGAGTTCACTCTAATTTACCGAGAAATGCATGATTGAAAACCCGGGTGTGTCTGCTCTATAGGAGCAGAGTTCTCTGACCTATCTCATAACTGACATCACATTTCGTATTGTGGCTAGCTGAGTCCAAGTTCATTTTCAATCCGCCAAGTAAGAGATTTTAAGTATTAGTGACAAGCGAAAAACAATGCAGTGGTATTACATGCAATATATAAATAAGAGCTTTATCAAGTTCAATTGTCATTTGAACTGTAATATTTGTTATTGTGTTACGTCCTGGTGGGTCTGATGATGTTGGTAATGCTGTCCTTTATGTTTTCTGGAGTCAGTAACTGAATTAATATGTCAGTGTAGTACTATCTGAAGAACTCAAAGAGCTATTCAAATGCTTAAAAATAAAATGATCAATTCTTCTTTTGTTCTCTTGACAGGATAATTGAAGCTATCTGCATAGGTTGGTTCACGGCAGAGTGCATCGTGAGGTTCATCATCTCCAAAAACAAGTGTGAGTTTGTCAAGAGACCCCTGAACATCATTGACTTACTGGCAATCACGCCGTATTACATCTCCGTGTTGATGACAGTATTTACAGGCGAGAACTCTCAGCTCCAGAGGGCCGGGGTCACCTTGAGGGTGCTTAGAATGATGAGGATTTTTTGGGTGATTAAGCTTGCCCGTCACTTCATTGGTCTTCAGACACTGGGTTTGACTCTCAAACGATGCTACCGAGAGATGGTTATGCTACTTGTCTTCATTTGTGTTGCCATGGCAATCTTCAGTGCACTTTCTCAGCTTCTTGAACATGGGTTGGACCTGGAAGCATCCAACAAGGACTTCGCCAGCATCCCTGCTGCCTGCTGGTGGGTGATTATCTCTATGACTACAGTTGGCTATGGAGATATGTATCCTATCACAATGCCTGGAAGAATTCTTGGAGGAGTTTGTGTTGTCAGTGGAATTGTTCTGTTGGCATTGCCTATCACTTTCATCTACCATAGCTTTGTGCAGTGTTATCATGAGCTCAAATTTAGATCAGCTAGATATAGTAGGAGCCTCTCCACGGAGTTCCTAAATTAATGCATTGCAAATCAAGTCTCGCATACACCTTGTTTGTTAGAAAGACTTACTGCTACTTCATATTCATGTGTTTCTTGCTCGGTGAGCACTGCAGTGTGGTACTGTCATCATCTTGGTAGGGTAAGAATTATCCTTCCCAGATGAAGGGATAAAGCAATTTACTTATTATGGAGTAAACAAGATTGAGACTGCAAAGGAAAAGCAATGATTTCTAGAGTTAATTTTAATATCTTATTTTATTTAGACTTGTTTCCTACTCCTTGCCTTGAACAATGACACTTTTTTTTTGTTTTGAAGTATATTATTTGAACATTTTAAAATGGAAAGCTACTATTGTCCAAATGTTTTTCTATCTTATGAATTTAGAAGAGTCTTGGAAGTTATGGTGTTTTTTGTTGGAGAGTAACATTTTCGTTTCTAAATGTTTTATAATCTCTCATATCAATGTCAGAAGTATCCTGGAAACATATGTCACATGCAAGAACTGTTTAACAAATACTTACAAAATTTGGCTGAATTTAAACTGTATGACGGAGCTAGATACAAGCAAGAATAGTATTTGGAAAACTTTTCCAGCATTTCTCAATTCTCGGATTTATTTTTGTTCCTATTATTCACTTTATCATGCAGCTTCATGGAAGCTTGAGTATGCCCTTACTTTTTCATTCCAGGTTTCTTTTATCTCTTTGCTGAAAGGACTCAAACAAGTATTTTAGAATGAAGAGAGCTTGTATTATTTAGTATTTTATTGGAGTTTATTGTATTTGAATTCATTGCTGTTACTAGGTGATAATTGTCCTAACATTCAGATGTCCAAACAAGATTTCCACATAAGAAATAATAGAAGTGGTTTGATATTACAACCCATATTTTTCTTCTTCTGCTTTTTTCCCCCCACCTAAACAACATGGGTTTAAGTCTTACCAGGTGAAAGGATTTTTATATATACCAAAGTCATACTTAGATGTTATCACTGGATTAACATAAAAAGAGAAATGAAATATTTTCTTACTCTTGGTTGCTGTGTAGCTAAGCCATTTTAAGCCAGCTGAGAGCAATGAATACATACTCATTTGATCTGATCTTCACCATCATAAATTATGACCACACCAAAGCTTCTTGCAATAATACTGAATAATATGCCACATTAATTTGGCTAGATTATTAGGCCTAGATGTAAAACTGATGACTGTTTAGTGCTAAACTCTAGCAAAGTGAATTAAGATTTTTGCTTTGTTAACCAGCTGCCATAAAGAAGTCAGTGTATATACACAAAAAGTTAAAGTCATTGATTATTGAATAATTTAATGTTGTACACTGTAATTTAGTCGGCGGGCGGGGGTGGGGGGTGGGGTTGGGAGGGGTGGGATCTTGATACATTTATCCAAGAAAGGATTACCAGAAGTGTTCATTAAAGGAATATCAGCCATTGTCTGGTTTAGGTAGAAAACCAGGGCAAGAGAGGATATGATTGTGAAGGAGTTAGGGCTAACACCTGGATCTCTAGAAATCGAGTCCAGCAGCTTATTTTTAACAAATTCTGGGTTTTGAGAAGCCACACTTCTTTGCCAGTGCCATTGCTGAGCTAATAATAGCAAAACTGTTCCTTTCCCCCTATTTCCTTTCCTGAGTTTATGTGATATTTTGGCCATTAAGAATCTCAACCCACCCAGCCTACCCGATTTGGCTCAGTGGATAGAGTGTCAGCCTGTGGGCTAAAGGGTCCCAGGTTCTATTTTTGCCAAGGGCACAGGCCCGGGTTGCGCCCTCCCTCCCCCCCCAGTAGGGGGCATACAGGAGGCATCCAATCAATGATTCTCTCTCATCATTAATGTTTCTATCTCTCTATCTCTCTCCCTTCCTCTCTGAAATCAATGAAAAAAAATATTTTAAGAATCTCACCCCACCCAGACAGTATGGCTCAGTGGTTGAGCATCAACCTATGAACCAGAAGGTCAAGGTTTGAATCCCAGTCAGGGCACATGCCCAGGTTGCAGGCTCAATCCCCAGTAGGGGAAGTACAAGAGGCAGTCAATCAATGATTCTCTCTCATCATTGATGTTTCTCTCTTTCTCCCTCTCTTCCTCTCTGAAATTAATAAAAATATATTTTAAAAAAAGAATCTCACTCCATCTTCCCTACTACTAGTGGTATGCTACTTGTCACTACTCAAAATAAATTCTGTTATTTATTGTATTTTAATATATTTGAAATAAATGGCATGGATTTAATTTTCCTTACCTATTTGGATTAAGGCTTTGTGAACCATACAAATAATATGCAGATGACAGCATCCCAACATTACTAATTAAGATATGATCGCCGTCCATTTTGCTGGCACAGGGAACTCGTTGTGGGAATGCTATGTCTTATCTTCCCCAAGTAAATTAGAAGTGTCTTGAGGACTGGGATCCTCTTTCTTGCACACAATTTCATATTCCCGCAGTGTCTATGACAGATTTGGGCAGAAACTGTGCACTGATGTGGGGGGAGAAGCTCCTGTGTGAAGAGGCAAGGAGAAGCAAACCTCTATGCATGTGCTTGAGAATACACACGTAGACCTTGAGGCTGCTCTTAAATAACCAGTAAGAAATCTCTTGTTGGTGCTGCCAGACTCCTCATAAAGGAGCATGTGGGGAAAATTCTAAAACAGTTCAGCTACCTATTTACTAAGAATGATGACAAGACATGGTAGAGTAGTTCACTTATGAGTAATATATATAATGGATATTGTAATTTTTTTTAGGACAGAGGCATTTTATAATAACTTCCCCTAAATGTTATTGCCTTTAAAAAATCATTCACTAGGACTTCTTTCTTGGTTGTGCTTTTAGACATTTTTCCTAACTCAGTCTTCCTGGCACAAATGCTTTCATTTAGGATCTTTATTAGTAGCAAGAAGTCAGATAGTATCCTAATTAAAACGCCCAACGAGGAAAGAGGAATGGTTCTGATTTTATGTAGGACTTGTTTTTTATTCTCTAAAATAGGATTTTTTTTCAGGATTAAAGCTAAAATTAGAGAACACATTTGAAAGTATTCAAGGCCTTATTTATCTTTCGCTTTTATGACTATTGTTATTGTGGGTTGCTGGTGAAACAGTTGCATTTGCTTTGCTTTTGGGTTTTGCAGTTACTTGTGGCCACACCTTTGTAGGTTTTTACTTTCTTAAAAATGTAGAAATATATTCTTTCACAGTGGCTGTCAGTAAATTAAAGTAATATTTCCTGTTTTTAAGCTTTTGTCCCCATGTCTTGCCCAGGTCTCCCATGAGCTGGGAAGCTAGGAGGTGAGGGAGGATGGATTAAATTGAATGTTGGTGTTGGAAGGATTTTCTTTGTTGGCTTGATATTTTCTAGAAGCAGCTTATTTCCTCTTTGCTATAGAAATGAAAAATAGAAAACTGAAAACTCGTAGCTCTGTTTACTGTTAAGCTTACATAATGCCAGACAATGCATAACTTCCCAAAATATTTCCAGAGCCCCCTGACCCTCCATAAAGCTCTATTCACTTATGGTGTACAATGTATAATACAATCAGATATGGTGTAAATAGTGCTCAGGGTCATAGGAAATTAGAACTGAAGGGCCCTGGAAACCTCTGGTCCCATCCAGATGTTAGCAACGAGGGCACTGTGTTCCCAATGGGTTGTGATTTAGCCATTGTCACCCATAGGGAGACCAACTTGTCCCTATTTGCCTGCGACTTTCTTGGTTTTAGCACTGAAAGTGCCCCACCCTGGGAAACCCCTTAGTCTAAGGCGAGTTGGCATCCTAATGTCAGGGCAGGACCCAGAAACCTCGCTTCTAGACTTTTGGTTCAGTGCTCTCTGGACATATTTCTATTTTATTTTATTACACACTAGAGGCCTGGTGCACGAATTCATGCACGGGTGGAGTTCGGCCAGCCTGCCCTGCTCTGGTGATGGGGCCTGGCTGGCAGGGGTGAGGGGCCACGGGAGGTTGGAGAGCTGGCCCCGCCCCTGATGGGAGGGAATCAGGAGCAGGGCCAGCCAGGGGGAGGGGCTATGAGCAGTTGGCCAGCCAGCCCCACCCCCTGGTCGAACTCCAGGTTGAACTCCCAGTCGAGGGGACAATTTGCATATTAGCCTTTTATTATATAGAATTATTTTATTTCTTTTTTTGTTTTTTATTCTGTGACTAACAATTTAAAATATTTTCTTTGGGACACCTTGTTATAGGTCAAATAAAAAGCAAATGTTGCTTTTAGACACCCTAGAAGTCAGGAAGGAGGGCTTGGGACCAGTGTGTAGGGAAGCCAAATTTTCAGTAGAGTTTTTAAATTGCAAAAATTCTCAGTTATGTACCCATTTACATATATACAAACAAGTGCAGTTCCTGGTTACCATTGCAGTATTTAGAAGGTACAGGTTGAGCAATGTCATAGCTGAATGGGAAGTAACATGGATTGAAGCTTGAATGGAATGTTCTGGAAAAGTTCCATTTTGGTCAGGATGCATGCACTTCTCTGTTTGTTCAGCATGTTTCATATGGTGTTTTGCTTCCTGCCTTTCTAGTCCCATCTGCACTCAGAGCATGGCATATCAGTTCTGCCCCTGAAAGTAAATTAATGATTTACTGCTCTATGCTGTGGAGCCTTCCAAAGACTTGTGGAAATGCCATCGGCAAGCACAATTATATTGTCCCATTCTGTGACTAACGTTTTTTCTTTTAGCAATTCCCCACTTACGTCTAAACATTTAGATTTTTCCAATTGTATCCCAATAAGCACTTCAACTTTTGACCATTAGTGTAAGTGCAGTTGTCAGTTTATTATTTATTTAGGGGCTTGAACTTGATTATCTGCATCTATGCTGTAATTTAAGCAAATTAATTTTAAGTAACTTTGGTGAGGATCCTTTGATTTATATTAAATATCAATACTGTACCAAGTACAGTGAAAGCATAAATGACATTAGTGGATTCTGGAAGCCAGAGGGAATAAATAGAATTTGGGTTTCACCGACCAGCACTAAGTAATGCTATGTCATTTATATCTGAAGTGTTGCTCTTGCTTTATTTATGCAACCTTGTATTAAAACTAAAACTAAAATTCCCCATAATTTTTGTATTAGGTAGGTGTTTTTTTTCTCCCATAGGTTTAATTTGTTTTGAAATAATTCTGTGACCATGCTCATGACCCAGTAGAAGCCATCTGTAGGGGGTATTGTTATAAAGTGCTTTGTTATTTTAAAGAAAGGAAGCATAAGTAATGACAGGTGTTTTTCCTGTATTACAAAGGATTTGTTTAGCTTACATATTGCTTTTCACCGTATGTTAACAAGCTTGACCTTGCAGCTGTGATGGACTTCCATGCTTTCCTTCTCTATGGACAGAGGGCAGGAGACCTTCACTTCTTAGTGGAGAGCAGTATCTGAGCTACTGAAACTCTGATACTAGAGAAATGTGTGTGTCCGTAGCTATGCATATATTTATTTTGTCTTAGGTGTTTAGCCACTGCTCCTCTTTCATATGAAACACTTGGAAGTAAAATGCAACATTATAAAATCACTGTGAGGCTTCGCTTTCAGGGCCATGTGAAAGCTGTTTGTTTTGGTTCATAGGACAGAAATGGAAAGTTCAGATTTTTTTATTTCTAGATAAATTGTCTAATATCTGTATCTTTAGTCAGAAAATTTTACCATTTGGAAGTTTTTTTTTAAAAAACACACAAATAATATAAGTAGTATAGTTGTAAAGTTAGGATAATGGGTCATAGTCCCCTTCTTGGTAAGATATGGCTTATAATCTTGTAATTAAGGGAAATCACCATTTATTACCTTCCAGTCAACTCAGTTTAAAAGGTCAGATAGAAATTGAATATAAGTATGTTTGTGTCTTTTTCTTAACATTTTAAAATTTATGATTTTTTTCTGTGCTGCAATACAAGGCAGAGATAGGAACAATGTGGCATGCAAGAAGTAATTAGGTGCATCCCACTTTTTAATAGGTTTCCAAACGTGTATGAAAAAAAAAGGTTTGGAAACATTATACTTTAAATACAGGAACTTAGTTAGGGAATCCTTTTAATCTGTGAGTCATCCTTCTGTTGTGTTACTATCCCCTAAAGTATATGATTTTTAGATTTGATTTTTCAAGTACATAAGAATGAGATGTCTTCTTGAGAAGGGCATACCTGCATGGGGATCAGATTTAGATCAAATTATTGAAAAGCTTCTATGTATCAAATCAGATTTGAGAAATTATCATAACACTTGTCTTAA